GGCTCTTTTTGTGGCCTTATATGTGGTCTGTTCTGGAAAATGTTCCATGTGCACTTGAGAAGAATGTATATCCTGCTGCTTTTGGGTGTCGAGTTCTGTAGATGTCTGTTTGGTCCATCTGTTCTAATGTGTTGTTCAGTGTCTCTGTCTCCTTACTTATCTTCTTCCTTACTTATCTTCTGTCTGGTTGATCTGTCCTTAGGAGTGAATGATGTGTTGAAGTCTCCTCAAATGAAAGCATTGCATTCTGTTCCCCCTTTAATTCTGTTAGTATTTGTTTCACAAATGTATGTGTTCCTGTGTTGGGTGCATAAATATTTATAATGGTTATATCCTCTTGTGGGACTGACCCCTTCATCATTATGGAGTGTCCTTCTTTGTCTCTTGTTACTTTCTTTGTTTTGAAGTCTGTTTTGTGTGATACAAGTACTGCAACTCCTGCTTTTTTCTCCCTATTAGTTGCATGAAATATCTTTTTCCATCCCTTCACTTTTAGTCTGTGTATGTCTTTGGGTTTAAAGCAAGTCTCTTGTAGGCAGCATATAGATGTTTTTTTTATCCATTCAGTGACTCTCTGTCTTTTGATTGGTGCATTCAGTCCATTTACATTTAGGGTGATTATCAATAGGTATTTATGCTTTAAATTTGTTGTCAAAGGTTCAAAGGTAAGTTCTTTACTCTCTAACAGTCTAACTTAACTCACTTAGTACACTAGTACAAACACAATCTAAAAGTTTTTTTTTCTCCTTCCTCATCCATTCTTTGTATATTAAGTATCATATTCTGTACTCTTTGTCTGTCCCTTGATTGACTTTGGTGGTAGTTGATTTAATTTTGCATTTGCTTAGTAATTAATTGGCCTACCTTTCTTTACTGTGATTTTATTTTCTCTGGTGACAGCTATTTAGCCTTAGGAACACTTCCATCTATAGTAATCCCTCAAAAATACATTGTAGAGATGGTTTATGGGAGGTAAATTCTTTCAAGTTTTGCTTATTTGGAAATTGTTTGATCCCTCCTTCAAATTTAAATGATAATCTTGCTGTATAGAGCATTTTTGGTTCAACGCCCTTCTGCTTCATTGCATTAAATACATAATGCCACTCCCTTCTGGCCTATAAGATTTCTGCTATGAAGTCTGATGATAGCCTGATGGGTTTTCCTTTATATGTGATCTTTTTTCTCTCTCTGGCTGCTTTTAATACTCTGTCCGTATCTTTGGTCTTTGCCATTTTAATTATTATGTACTTGGTGTTGTCTTCCTTGGGTCCCTTGTGTTAGGAGATCTGTGCACCTCCAAGGCCTGAGAGACTTTCTCCTTCCCCCGACTGGGCAAGTTTTCAGCAATTATCTCCTAAAGACACTTTCTATCTCCTTTTCTCTCTCTTCTTCTTCTGGTACCCTTATAATGCAAATATTGTTCCGTTTGGATTGGTCACACAGTTTTGTCAATATTCTTTCATTCCTAGAGATCCTTTTATCTCTCTGTGCCTCAGCTTCTTTATGGTCCTGTTCTCTAATTTCTATTTAATTTACCATCTCCTCTACTTCATCTAATATGCTTTTAAATCCCTCCATTGTATGTTTTATTTCAGATACTGTATTTTTCAAAGTTTGTATCTCATTCTTAAATTCTTCCCTGAAGTCTTGAATAATTTTCTGTAGCTCTGTGAGCATGTTTATGATTTGTATTTTGAAATCTCCTTCAAGAAGATTGGCGATTTCAATTTCTCTTGGCCCTCTTTCCGGTGTTCTGTGGGATTTTGGTTTGAACTAGGTTCCTTTGACATTTCATATTTGTATGTGGCGCCCTCTAGTGCCCAGAAGCTCTACTCTCTGGAACTGCTCAGCCCCTGGAGCAATGGTGGTGGTCCCAGGCAATCAACACTGGTGCCTGCCAGGAGGAAAGAGCTCTTTCTTGCTTCCCAGGTGCCGGGCCTGCCTCTACTGCCAGGGCTAGTGGGCTGAGCATGCAGGGAAGAGCCTCTATGCTATGCACTTGTAGCCACTGTCTGGCTGATCTGGCACAATGGCAGGGGAAGGTGGTGGTTATGCCAGCCAGTGCTGGCCCAGAGAAAGGAGAGGCACGCTGTATGTCATGGTGGGGGGCCTTGTAGCTACATTGTCAGCCGGGGGATGGAGTGCCTGAAGCTCCTGAAAGTTCCCAGCCTGATAGTTGTCCCCTTGTCCTTTCTCCTGAGCAGCATGCTCTGTGCAATTGTCACCCTTTTAGCAGCCCTCATGCTGTTAGGAATTGTCTTAGACTGCCTGTCTGTCTTTTTTCCCAGAGCAGCTGGTTGTGGTCACCTGTTATCCACAAGTATTTTGCCTGTCAGTTTTCCAGCCCCACTATTCTCCAGAGCACCATGCAATGTAGGTTTGTGCTCCCAGTGCACCCGCCAGGGCCGGGTGTCCAGCAGTCCTGATCCTCCACCCCCTCCGTGCTCCGTTTCTCTTCCTCCCTCCAGTGAGCTGGCGTGGGGTAATGGCTTGGGTCTCGCCAGGTCCTGGCTTTGGTACTTTACCCTTTTTCGTGAGGTCTGCTCTGTTCCCCAGGTATAAGCAGTGTGCCACAGCCTTCTTTCATGTTCTTCTTTCAGGATTAGTTGTACTTGTTTATATTTTCATATTTTATGTGGTTTTGGGAGGAGGTTTCTGTCTCACCTCTCACCCGCCATCTTTCAGCCCCCTCCACCAGAATTGCTTTTTTTTATGGTGAACAATAATCCATTCTGTGTGTGTGTGTGTGTGAGACCTATTTTTTATCCACTCATTTGTTGAGGACACTTAGTTTCCATGTATAGGCTATTATAAATAGTGCTGCAATGAACATGGGGGTGCAAATATCTTTTCAAGATACAGATTGCATTTTCTTCAGATAAATATGCTGAAGTGGAATTACTGGATCATATGATAATTGTTTTAATTTTTCGAGGAACCTCTGTGCTGTTTTCTGCAGTGGCTACACATTCCCACCCACAGTGTAGGTGCCTCCCTTTTCTCTACATTCTTGCCAAGTCTTGTATTTTGCCTTTTGGTGTTAGCCGTTCTAACTGGTGTGGGGTGACCGTGACCTCTCACTGTGGTTCTCGTGTGCCTTTCCCTGGTGATGAGCGCTGTGGAGCATCTTTCCCTGTGCCTGTTGGCCATCTGTGTGTCTTCTTTGAAAAGATGTTTGCTTATGTCCTCTGCCCAATTTTTAATTGGAGATACCTGTATTTTGCTATTGAATCATATGAGTTCTGTATGTATTTTGCATATTAACCCCTTGGATATATAATTTGCAAATATTTTCTCCTATTTTGTAGATGCCTTTTCATTTTCATTTCCTTTGCTGTACAGCAGCTTTTTAATTTGATGTTGTCCCACTTGTTTTTCTTTTGTTGCCTTTGCTTTCAGCGTCAAACAAAAAAATAACCATCAAGACCTGCATCAAGGAACTAACCCCTGTGCATTCTTCTAGTTTTATGGTTTCAAGCTGGATGTTCAACTCTTTAATCCATTTTGATTGGATTTTTGTGTGCAAGATGTACAAGTATATAAGAGGTACAGAGATGTAAAATAGGGGTCCAGTCCCATTCTTTTGCATGTGGCTGTCCAGTCTTCCCAGCATCATTTATTGAAGAGATTGTCTTTCCCCCACTGTATGTTCTTAGCTCCTCTGTCATAACTCAATATACCATACATGCATGGGTTTATTTCTGGCTCTGTGATTTGGCCCATTGATCTGTGTGTCTGTGTTTGTGCCAGTACCATATTGTTGCCAGTGTCAAAAGATTAAGTATCTTTCCAGTGAGAGCTATTCCTTGCAAAATTAAAAAATCTGGCAACATTTAAGTCCACACTTTGGAATTACAGTAATCACCAACTGCCTTCATCATGAACCTGTTTCCTGCTTGGCCGCAGAAGACATTTGAGTTTGCTACTAGAATAAGAGCACATCCTTGTGTTATTTATTAACTAAATTTTTAATGGGAATTCTGGTTGGTGCTTCTGGTGGCTCATCTCAGAGAATAGTTAGGGTGGCCTTTCAGCTTACCCAACGGGGTGTCTGTTCTATATCCCACTGTCCGTTAAGGTGGAATAATATGCATACAGATCATCTTGGGTGGAAGAAGCATGCATTTCTGATACTTATTACAGAGTAAATTTTAAACTTACCGTGAAGCAGTATTTATCAAAAAAGCAATAGGAATAATCTTCCATTTCCTCAAGTAAACTCAAGCATGACTTTAAGAGCACGCAGTCATTGCACCCTCACGGGTTTCAGGCAAAGGTCCTCCGGACGCGCCAGAGGCCTGCACAGAAACGGCTGCTGTCGGCCTTGGTGTGGGCTCACCAGCCTGTACCGAGGACCGGTTTGCAAAATCTGCGCCGTGAGACCACTGCATCTTTGGAGGGACACCACAGCGAGTGCCATGTTACTGGGTCATGTGGAAGACTTCTCACAGGAAGGGTGTCTGATTGATGTTATGTTTGTGAGATGGAGGAACTGGATGGGTGGTGGGGTCTGGACTCTGTGGCTCAGGAGCAGCCCAGGGCTTATGCATGAGCTAAGGCAGAGTGGAAGGGGTGGCAGCTGGGCATCCTGTGTGTCTATTTCCTTCTGCACCAGCTTGCTGGGTCCTTTGCCCCATGGTTAGCCGTGGCTGCATTGATGTGTGCCTGTAGGTGAAGCTTGGTTTTGAACCTCTCTGCCTGGGCTTCCCCAGGGCATTCATTGGGTGGGGACTCAGGGTACAGGAGCCAGGAGCTGGAAGGACCGGGGAAGCTGCAGGCCACCTGCAGTGGATCTCCGAGTGGAGTCTCAGCCCCTTGCCTGCTGCTGCCGGGCTGTGTTGCTCAGGAAGACTGGCTTCTTGGTAAGCCCCTGAGATTCGGGGTCTTATCTGTCACAGCAGCCGGGGTACGAAACCTATACAACTCTACTTGGTAATTTTAGACAATGAAGCTCCCAGGAAGAGAAAACCAGGGTCAAAACACTTCTGATCAAAGCAATTTCATTGATTTTTTTCATGTTTGAGTTAAAACAGTATGTGTGGCTCCAAGTCAGTAAGATGTGATTTACTAGTCTCTGATGTTGGGTACCACTACATATTTTATTTTTCTATTTTGGACTTACATATTCAAAATGCTGAACTATAACAGTAGTTTATCACATAGAAATAAAGCAGTTACTACAAAACAAGTATTAGGAATGAAGTAGCGTTAAGACACTTAAAGGGTGTTGTCAGGCTACCAGCTTGTTTGTCAGATGCTAGCTTTATGTGGGTAACTGTGTGCCTGGGAAGGTGGGGTGCTGTGACCATCCTGGCAGCCCACGTCGTGCCAATCCGAACTGCCTGGAAATAGGCCAGCTGATCAGATTACCATCAAAGAAAAGAGCACTTTTACTGTTGTGAGCAATCCCCACTGATGAACCGGAAGCACAGCAAGTCAGTAAATTACAGAAGCTCTGAAACTCGAGTTTGTATCCACTCAGGAATTTGAAATTTTTTTTTACAGTGACTGAAACTGGATAGGTTGTCAGCTTTTAGAAGAGTTAGGTCCCCATGTGTAACTAAGAGTGTGCTTCACTGGAGAACAGATTGCTCTGTAGTACTTAACCCAAATGCCCACATTTCATCCAAACTTAGGGTAAACTACCCGTCCCCAAATGATTTTCAAGAATTTTCTTTTGGTAGCGAGAGCGGCAGAGAGGACACGTGTGGAAAGGAGAGCTGTCCCCCGGGGAGAACTCCTCCAGGGCCAGCAGACACATGTGGTGAAACGTGTGTGAGCAGGACAGGAGGACTGTCTTCCGGGAAGGCTGGCTGAAGCCCGACCCTGAGGGGGCTCGTTGACCATCACTGCCCCCTGAGAGTGGCGTGAGGCAGATGGAGCATTCGTGGGTCTCCCGGAGCAGAGCCTGCAACACGAGAGGGAGGGAGTGTCACTCAGGTAACTCATTTCATGTGTGAAAGTTAGTGAAGGGGCCCCACTGAGGCAGAGCCGTCAACTCTGCCCTCCCCACCCCAGAAGGCCATGCCCAGGACCCCAGTGGAGAATCCTCACCAGGCACGGTCCCCAAGGACAGGCCCCACTGGGGAAGATGCATGCGGCACCTCCTACCAGGAATCCACCCCTGCCGCTCAGCCAGTGGGGCCCCGTCACCTGGGAGCCCCGCTTTTCTCCAGAGGACTTTCTTCCCAACAGGCCCCTTCCAGCCCCCCTCCTGCCCCACTTTGTTGGCTGGACCACCTGTGGCTTCACCTGCTTGCACGTCCCTACTACAACTTTCTGCTGTTCCCGAATCACCCACTTTTGCTGGTCAAATAACTGGGTTTTATTTCTAAGGTTAACACATAATACTAAGTTTCGTAAACTTAAGTGAGAACTATATACAAAGAGACATGGATCTAGTCTAAAAATGAAGTTTCATTCTATGTTAAACTAACACTAATTATATTAATACCATTACTCTTAAGACTTAAGTGGAAGCAGATAGTAACCCACCTATATGGTAAGCAATTTTAAAACAAAAATACTTTATAAAATACTGATCATTAATAATATACATTTCCTTATAATTAAGCAATAAAGAATTGTCTTTTTCAGTGGCTCAGTCTAGCTTCTACACATCTTAACTTTTCCTCTTTTTATGATTTTCTGAGTAAGATTTTACTGTGTTGGGTTTTGAGTCACCCTTTCCCCCATGGTGACTGTGGATGCGTGAGGAGGGCAGGTTAGAATTTGCAAAAAAACGCTGGAGGGTAAAGTGTGAGGCGGCCTTTTCCCTCTGCTGTTTCCATCATTCACAAGATGGCATCATCAAAGTGTAATTTCAGAATGAAGGGCCTTCGCACGCACCGGGGGTAGATGACAAAGGCGGAGGGGTCCCCTCCCCCTGTGGGTGCGTGCACAGCCAGGGCTAAAGCCTGGGCCTGGCAGGCCTTCGTGCCCCCAAATCGCTGCAGACGCCTTCGGGGCCTACCTGGCTCTGGATCTTCCCCCATTCCTCTTCTGTGAGCTCATGGCCACACTTCTCCTCCAGCTGCTGAAGAATTCTTCGGTTTGTGGCCAAGCAGTGGTCGATCTCTGCAAAAAGCTCTTCGATGTCCGTGTTGTATGAGCACAGCATTCGGTGACTGATTTCTGAGAACTAATTCCTGTTCTCTAATTTCTATTTAATTTACCATCTCCTCTACTTCATCTAATATGCTTTTAAATCCCTCCATTGTATGTTTTATTTCAGATACTGTATTTTTCAAAGTTTGTATCTCATTCTTAAATTCTTCCCTGAAGTCTTGAATAATTTTCTGTAGCTCTGTGAGCATGTTTATGATTTGTATTTTGAAATCTCCTTCAAGAAGATTGGCGATTTCAATTTCTCTTGGCCCTCTTTCCGGTGTTCTGTGGGATTTTGGTTTGAACTAGGTTCCTTTGACATTTCATATTTGTATGTGGCGCCCTCTAGTGCCCAGAAGCTCTACTCTCTGGAACTGCTCAGCCCCTGGAGCAATGGTGGTGGTCCCAGGCAATCAACACTGGTGCCTGCCAGGAGGAAAGAGCTCTTTCTTGCTTCCCAGGTGCCGGGCCTGCCTCTACTGCCAGGGCTAGTGGGCTGAGCATGCAGGGAAGAGCCTCTATGCTATGCACTTGTAGCCACTGTCTGGCTGATCTGGCACAATGGCAGGGGAAGGTGGTGGTTATGCCAGCCAGTGCTGGCCCAGAGAAAGGAGAGGCACGCTGTATGTCATGGTGGGGGGCCTTGTAGCTACATTGTCAGCCGGGGGATGGAGTGCCTGAAGCTCCTGAAAGTTCCCAGCCTGATAGTTGTCCCCTTGTCCTTTCTCCTGAGCAGCATGCTCTGTGCAATTGTCACCCTTTTAGCAGCCCTCATGCTGTTAGGAATTGTCTTAGACTGCCTGTCTGTCTTTTTTCCCAGAGCAGCTGGTTGTGGTCACCTGTTATCCACAAGTATTTTGCCTGTCAGTTTTCCAGCCCCACTATTCTCCAGAGCACCATGCAATGTAGGTTTGTGCTCCCAGTGCACCCGCCAGGGCCGGGTGTCCAGCAGTCCTGATCCTCCACCCCCTCCGTGCTCCGTTTCTCTTCCTCCCTCCAGTGAGCTGGCGTGGGGTAATGGCTTGGGTCTCGCCAGGTCCTGGCTTTGGTACTTTACCCTTTTTCGTGAGGTCTGCTCTGTTCCCCAGGTATAAGCAGTGTGCCACAGCCTTCTTTCATGTTCTTCTTTCAGGATTAGTTGTACTTGTTTATATTTTCATATTTTATGTGGTTTTGGGAGGAGGTTTCTGTCTCACCTCTCACCCGCCATCTTTCAGCCCCCTCCACCAGAATTGCTTTTTTTTATGGTGAACAATAATCCATTCTGTGTGTGTGTGTGTGTGAGACCTATTTTTTATCCACTCATTTGTTGAGGACACTTAGTTTCCATGTATAGGCTATTATAAATAGTGCTGCAATGAACATGGGGGTGCAAATATCTTTTCAAGATACAGATTGCATTTTCTTCAGATAAATATGCTGAAGTGGAATTACTGGATCATATGATAATTGTTTTAATTTTTCGAGGAACCTCTGTGCTGTTTTCTGCAGTGGCTACACATTCCCACCCACAGTGTAGGTGCCTCCCTTTTCTCTACATTCTTGCCAAGTCTTGTATTTTGCCTTTTGGTGTTAGCCGTTCTAACTGGTGTGGGGTGACCGTGACCTCTCACTGTGGTTCTCGTGTGCCTTTCCCTGGTGATGAGCGCTGTGGAGCATCTTTCCCTGTGCCTGTTGGCCATCTGTGTGTCTTCTTTGAAAAGATGTTTGCTTATGTCCTCTGCCCAATTTTTAATTGGAGATACCTGTATTTTGCTATTGAATCATATGAGTTCTGTATGTATTTTGCATATTAACCCCTTGGATATATAATTTGCAAATATTTTCTCCTATTTTGTAGATGCCTTTTCATTTTCATTTCCTTTGCTGTACAGCAGCTTTTTAATTTGATGTTGTCCCACTTGTTTTTCTTTTGTTGCCTTTGCTTTCAGCGTCAAACAAAAAAATAACCATCAAGACCTGCATCAAGGAACTAACCCCTGTGCATTCTTCTAGTTTTATGGTTTCAAGCTGGATGTTCAACTCTTTAATCCATTTTGATTGGATTTTTGTGTGCAAGATGTACAAGTATATAAGAGGTACAGAGATGTAAAATAGGGGTCCAGTCCCATTCTTTTGCATGTGGCTGTCCAGTCTTCCCAGCATCATTTATTGAAGAGATTGTCTTTCCCCCACTGTATGTTCTTAGCTCCTCTGTCATAACTCAATATACCATACATGCATGGGTTTATTTCTGGCTCTGTGATTTGGCCCATTGATCTGTGTGTCTGTGTTTGTGCCAGTACCATATTGTTGCCAGTGTCAAAAGATTAAGTATCTTTCCAGTGAGAGCTATTCCTTGCAAAATTAAAAAATCTGGCAACATTTAAGTCCACACTTTGGAATTACAGTAATCACCAACTGCCTTCATCATGAACCTGTTTCCTGCTTGGCCGCAGAAGACATTTGAGTTTGCTACTAGAATAAGAGCACATCCTTGTGTTATTTATTAACTAAATTTTTAATGGGAATTCTGGTTGGTGCTTCTGGTGGCTCATCTCAGAGAATAGTTAGGGTGGCCTTTCAGCTTACCCAACGGGGTGTCTGTTCTATATCCCACTGTCCGTTAAGGTGGAATAATATGCATACAGATCATCTTGGGTGGAAGAAGCATGCATTTCTGATACTTATTACAGAGTAAATTTTAAACTTACCGTGAAGCAGTATTTATCAAAAAAGCAATAGGAATAATCTTCCATTTCCTCAAGTAAACTCAAGCATGACTTTAAGAGCACGCAGTCATTGCACCCTCACGGGTTTCAGGCAAAGGTCCTCCGGACGCGCCAGAGGCCTGCACAGAAACGGCTGCTGTCGGCCTTGGTGTGGGCTCACCAGCCTGTACCGAGGACCGGTTTGCAAAATCTGCGCCGTGAGACCACTGCATCTTTGGAGGGACACCACAGCGAGTGCCATGTTACTGGGTCATGTGGAAGACTTCTCACAGGAAGGGTGTCTGATTGATGTTATGTTTGTGAGATGGAGGAACTGGATGGGTGGTGGGGTCTGGACTCTGTGGCTCAGGAGCAGCCCAGGGCTTATGCATGAGCTAAGGCAGAGTGGAAGGGGTGGCAGCTGGGCATCCTGTGTGTCTATTTCCTTCTGCACCAGCTTGCTGGGTCCTTTGCCCCATGGTTAGCCGTGGCTGCATTGATGTGTGCCTGTAGGTGAAGCTTGGTTTTGAACCTCTCTGCCTGGGCTTCCCCAGGGCATTCATTGGGTGGGGACTCAGGGTACAGGAGCCAGGAGCTGGAAGGACCGGGGAAGCTGCAGGCCACCTGCAGTGGATCTCCGAGTGGAGTCTCAGCCCCTTGCCTGCTGCTGCCGGGCTGTGTTGCTCAGGAAGACTGGCTTCTTGGTAAGCCCCTGAGATTCGGGGTCTTATCTGTCACAGCAGCCGGGGTACGAAACCTATACAACTCTACTTGGTAATTTTAGACAATGAAGCTCCCAGGAAGAGAAAACCAGGGTCAAAACACTTCTGATCAAAGCAATTTCATTGATTTTTTTCATGTTTGAGTTAAAACAGTATGTGTGGCTCCAAGTCAGTAAGATGTGATTTACTAGTCTCTGATGTTGGGTACCACTACATATTTTATTTTTCTATTTTGGACTTACATATTCAAAATGCTGAACTATAACAGTAGTTTATCACATAGAAATAAAGCAGTTACTACAAAACAAGTATTAGGAATGAAGTAGCGTTAAGACACTTAAAGGGTGTTGTCAGGCTACCAGCTTGTTTGTCAGATGCTAGCTTTATGTGGGTAACTGTGTGCCTGGGAAGGTGGGGTGCTGTGACCATCCTGGCAGCCCACGTCGTGCCAATCCGAACTGCCTGGAAATAGGCCAGCTGATCAGATTACCATCAAAGAAAAGAGCACTTTTACTGTTGTGAGCAATCCCCACTGATGAACCGGAAGCACAGCAAGTCAGTAAATTACAGAAGCTCTGAAACTCGAGTTTGTATCCACTCAGGAATTTGAAATTTTTTTTTACAGTGACTGAAACTGGATAGGTTGTCAGCTTTTAGAAGAGTTAGGTCCCCATGTGTAACTAAGAGTGTGCTTCACTGGAGAACAGATTGCTCTGTAGTACTTAACCCAAATGCCCACATTTCATCCAAACTTAGGGTAAACTACCCGTCCCCAAATGATTTTCAAGAATTTTCTTTTGGTAGCGAGAGCGGCAGAGAGGACACGTGTGGAAAGGAGAGCTGTCCCCCGGGGAGAACTCCTCCAGGGCCAGCAGACACATGTGGTGAAACGTGTGTGAGCAGGACAGGAGGACTGTCTTCCGGGAAGGCTGGCTGAAGCCCGACCCTGAGGGGGCTCGTTGACCATCACTGCCCCCTGAGAGTGGCGTGAGGCAGATGGAGCATTCGTGGGTCTCCCGGAGCAGAGCCTGCAACACGAGAGGGAGGGAGTGTCACTCAGGTAACTCATTTCATGTGTGAAAGTTAGTGAAGGGGCCCCACTGAGGCAGAGCCGTCAACTCTGCCCTCCCCACCCCAGAAGGCCATGCCCAGGACCCCAGTGGAGAATCCTCACCAGGCACGGTCCCCAAGGACAGGCCCCACTGGGGAAGATGCATGCGGCACCTCCTACCAGGAATCCACCCCTGCCGCTCAGCCAGTGGGGCCCCGTCACCTGGGAGCCCCGCTTTTCTCCAGAGGACTTTCTTCCCAACAGGCCCCTTCCAGCCCCCCTCCTGCCCCACTTTGTTGGCTGGACCACCTGTGGCTTCACCTGCTTGCACGTCCCTACTACAACTTTCTGCTGTTCCCGAATCACCCACTTTTGCTGGTCAAATAACTGGGTTTTATTTCTAAGGTTAACACATAATACTAAGTTTCGTAAACTTAAGTGAGAACTATATACAAAGAGACATGGATCTAGTCTAAAAATGAAGTTTCATTCTATGTTAAACTAACACTAATTATATTAATACCATTACTCTTAAGACTTAAGTGGAAGCAGATAGTAACCCACCTATATGGTAAGCAATTTTAAAACAAAAATACTTTATAAAATACTGATCATTAATAATATACATTTCCTTATAATTAAGCAATAAAGAATTGTCTTTTTCAGTGGCTCAGTCTAGCTTCTACACATCTTAACTTTTCCTCTTTTTATGATTTTCTGAGTAAGATTTTACTGTGTTGGGTTTTGAGTCACCCTTTCCCCCATGGTGACTGTGGATGCGTGAGGAGGGCAGGTTAGAATTTGCAAAAAAACGCTGGAGGGTAAAGTGTGAGGCGGCCTTTTCCCTCTGCTGTTTCCATCATTCACAAGATGGCATCATCAAAGTGTAATTTCAGAATGAAGGGCCTTCGCACGCACCGGGGGTAGATGACAAAGGCGGAGGGGTCCCCTCCCCCTGTGGGTGCGTGCACAGCCAGGGCTAAAGCCTGGGCCTGGCAGGCCTTCGTGCCCCCAAATCGCTGCAGACGCCTTCGGGGCCTACCTGGCTCTGGATCTTCCCCCATTCCTCTTCTGTGAGCTCATGGCCACACTTCTCCTCCAGCTGCTGAAGAATTCTTCGGTTTGTGGCCAAGCAGTGGTCGATCTCTGCAAAAAGCTCTTCGATGTCCGTGTTGTATGAGCACAGCATTCGGTGACTGATTTCTGAGAACTAAGGGGGACACCAGAGGAGGCGAATTTATCAGCTGAGTGTGAAAGTGTTGGTGTAGGTTGAAGGGAAGCACCTTCTTGAGTTCTGACCACCTTTTAAACTAATGTTCCTCAAGCCTTTGCCTTTGCATAATACTTTCTGGGGAAATATGGCTATTTACTTAATAACTCCATGGCCAGATAATTTATGCAAAAAGCCATGTAAGCCTTGGTGGTGGTTAGCAGGGAATATATTGACATTAGAAGTTGAGAGAAGAAAGCGATGGGAGTGTTGCAGAGGCAGTCACAATGTCACCCCGCTCTGGCACCATTTATTCTCATCTGACGGGAGGACCATCGCTAGAAATGCCATTTCCCTAGTGCTTTTGCCAGGCAACTGGTAACAAGAGATGGTTTGGTTCATATTTCTCCCCTTGCCAGCCAGCTTCCCAGTCTGGCTGCAGGTTATCATTTTAGTGTGCCTATAAAAAAAGAGAAGAAATGCAAGGGAAAGATTATCACCTTTTACTCTAGTTACTCACTCTGGTTTTTTCTCTGAGCTCCAGAATCATAATTTGAACACCCCCTATTGCTTAACTGTCTTAAAAATCTCTTGACTAAGATGAGGTAATCAGTGGGGACAGATGTATGCCTCCTTGCTACACAACAGATCTTTAGGATTTATGAGTCTGTTCTCACTGCTAGCATAAATGGAGGCAACATATTGTATTTATCTGAAACTTTTGTGAAGTTTGTTTAGAAAGTACTGTCCTTAGAGTCTCTAATGAACTTCCCAGTTCTTTCTATAAAAAGTACTCTATTTTTGACACACAAGGATTTAGAAAACACAATGATCTTAAGACAAGTGATTTAACTGGAAATGGTGGTTGGTTGTGATCTGGCCTGTGACCGTCTCCTGAGGGTTACCACCTGGAGCTCCCTGACACCTAGACTCCTGCCCTAACACTTGGATCTGTGCTGTGAATTCGCTGATCTCTGATTGTAGGGGAAACCTGCCTAGATAAAGAAGTCACCCGACTGTGATTTCCCCACGATGTTCATTTTTGTGCCACTAAGTGGTAGCAGTTAATAATTGTAAAGCAGGGTAACCTGATACCCTTGTCTCCTCCACTTCTGGGCTCCCTTGGGCCTTGTACTCTAATTTGGAAATATTTACTATGTAATTCTCCTGATCTCTGTGAATTTTAATCTCCAGAATTAGGAATTTTTAACCCTTCTGTATAGACCACTCCATCAAGATGCCATCACTTCATTTTTAAAAGGTGAAGTACTCAAATAAAATAGAGATCAAGCAATATATGGAGACAAATGACAACAGTTATTCAAAAATCACAAAATCTGTGGGACACAGCAAAGGCTGTGCTAAGAGGGAAGTGTATTGCAATACAGGCCCACCTCAGGAAACAAGAACAATCCCATATGAAAAATCTAAACTCACAATTAACGAAACTAGGAAAAGAAGAACAAATGAGGCCCAAAGTCAGTAGAAGGAGGGACATAAGGAAGATTTGAGCAGAAATAAATAAAATCAAGAAGAATAAAACAATAGAACCAATAGAAGCAGAAGCTGGTTCTTTGAGAAAATTAAAAGAGATAAAACCCCAGACAGACTTAATCAAGAAAAACACACATAAACAGAATCAGAAATGAGAAAGGAAAAATCACTATGGATGCCATAGAAATACAAAGAATTATAAGAGAATACTATGAAAAATTATATGCTAACAGACTGGATAACCTAGAAGTAATGGATAACTTTCTAGAAAAATACAACCTTCCAAGGCTGACTCAGGAAGAAACAGGACATCTGAACAGACCAATTATCAGCAACGAAATTTAGTTGGTAATCAAAAACTACTAAGAAGAAAACCCTTAGACTAGATAGCTTCACCGCTGTATTTTATCAAACATTTAGTGAAGACCTAATACCCATTCCCTTGTTAAAGTTTTCCAAAAAGTAGAAGAGGGAATACTTCCAAACTCATTCTATGAGGCCAGCATCACTCTGATACCAAAACCAGGCAAAGACACCTCAAAAAATGAAATTATAGACCAATACCCCTGATGAACATAGATGCAAAAATACTCACAAAGTATTAGCAAACCGAATTCAAAAATACATCGAAAAGATCATCCATCATGATCAAGTAGGATTTATTCCAGGGATGTAAGGATGGTACAGCATTCGAAAATCCATCAGCATCATCCACTACATCAACAAAAAGAAGGACAAAAACCACATGATCATCTCCATAGATGCTGAAAAAGCATTTGACAAAATTCAACATCCATTCATGATAAAAACTCTCTCAACAAAGGGTATAGAGGGCAAGTACCTCAACATAATAAAGGCCATATATGACAAACCCACAGCCAGCATCATACTTAACAGTGAGAAGCTGAAAGCTTTTCCTTTAAGATCGGGAAGAAGACAAGGATGCCCACTCTCCCCACTTCTATTCAACATAGTTCTGGAGGTACTAGCCACGGAAATCAGACAACACAAAGAAATAAAAGGCATCCAGATTGGTAAAGAAGAAGTTAAAACTGTCACTGTTTGCAGATGACATGATATTGTACATAAGAAACCCTAAAGAATCGACCCCAAAACTACTAGATCTAAAATCTGCATTCAGCAAAGTTGCAGGATACAAAATTAATTCATAGAAATATGTTGCATTCTTACACACTAATGATGAACTAGCAGAAAGAGAAATCAGGAAAACAATTCCATTCACAGTTGCATCAAAAAGAATAAATTTTATTCTTAATTTTATTTGTTCTTTGGCCTTTCAATTATCTGACAATCTCCAAATAAATTATTGAAAATAGAAGAGTTCCCTGTATTTCATAAGCGGAAGAATTCCTTGGAAATAGGTACAAGTGCCTTCCGGTTAGTGTTTTATGAATTGTTATATAAATTGTGTTTTGTTGAAATGTGAGGTATTTGCATATATCCCTGAAAGGTGAATTACTTTCTTCCTCCAAAACTATGCCTCTGAAGAAAAGGGGTCACATTCTATTGAGACCTTACAGTGTTTCAGGTTCTGAGGTGTGTTCTCAGGTCAGTTCTGAGTGCCGCACACCGTTGGAGGTGGCCTGTTCGTGTGAGACCTCTGCAGCCAGTGTGATTGGGGCACTGCTTCCCAGGGGTGACCCCCGGACTGGCATCACTCTGGAGCTTGAGAAACGCAGACTCTCCACCCACCCGGACTGCAGAGTCAGAACCTGTGGTGAGCAGCCACCTGTTTTGGTTCAGTCAGTCACCTGAGTGATGTTTGTCGTTCTCGGGGAATCCCTCCCAACTCCAAATGCTGGAGGTCACTGAGCTTCCCAAGGTCAGTTAAGAGCACAACATGGTAAATGTGGAGGCCACGTATGCATCTGTGCGTTTCGTGTGCAATAACAGATACAGTCTTCCTACATTTGTATGCCCAGGATGACTGAGAGAGGTGGGTGCCCTCTTGTAGCGGCAGGTGGAATACCTCAGAGGGAACAGAGCTGAACACCCCGAACAGCTGTGTGCCAGGGCCTTAGTGGCCCTGTGAGGACGGTCCCATGTCACCTTGCCCCAGGTGTTTCCCTCTGCCTTCAGAAGTTTCGGTGCATGACTTGTTCCCTTTAGTACTGAAAATCTGAGGGACTGAGAGGACTTAATAGTGATATTAATTAGTGTTGATATTATACACCACACAGTGTTTTCCAAGGGTCTTCATGTGTCACTCACTCATCTTTAAGTCTCTCAAGGGCTTAGTATGTTCACTGACCACAGCAGGTGCTTAATAAACAGGCGTTGAAAAAAATGGACTTGTCAGTTTTGCAAATAGCAGTTAATCTGGGAAGAGTGAATTTTTTTTTTTAAAGCTAAAACGTTCTCACTGATTTTTTATTTATTTTAATTTTTTAAATTTTTTTTTGAGAGGGCATCTCATATTTATTGATCAAATGGTTGTTAACAACAATAAAATTCTGTATAGGGGACTCAATGCACAATCATTAATCAACCCCAAGCCTAGATCTCAACAGTCTCCAATCTTCTGAAGCATAACGAACAAGTTCTTACATGGTGAGCAGTGCAAGGGCAGTCATCACAGAAACTTTCGGTTTTGATCACGCATCATGAACTATAAACAATCAGGTCAAATATGAATATTCATTTGATTTTTATACTTGATTTATGTGTGAATCCCACATTTCTCCCTTATTATTGTTATTATTATTATTATTATTTTTAATAAAATGCTGAAGTGGTAGGTAGATACAAGATAAAGGTAGAAAACATAGTTCAGTGCTGTAAGAGGGCAAATGTAGATGATCAGGTGTGTGCCTGTAGACTGTGTGTTAATCCAAGCTAGACAAGGGCAACAAAACATCCACGGATGCAGAAGATTTCTCTCAAAGCAGGGGGGGTGAGGTTCTAAGCCTCACCTCTGTTGATCCCCAATTTCTCACCTGATGGCACCCCTGCGACTGTGCCTGTCTTAGGTTGTTCCTCCCTTGAGGAATCTTACCCGTCTCTGGCTAACCAGTCATCTTGGGAAGAGTGAATTTTAATGCACCATCATTAATTCCAATTGGTGTATTGTAGCGAAATGAGTAAGTGCTTATGATATGTGATAATATGTGAGAATCACAAACCAATTCTGTACTCAAATGTTTGATTTCTGCAGGACATAACCTGACATAGGAGAGACAAATATTGCTTTAGTAATATTCTACAAATTTTGACATGTATTTTGCTATTAATTCAGTTTAAAATGTTATGTAATTTCCATTATAATTTCTTCTGTGGCCAACAGGTTATTTAGAACTGTTGATTTATTTCCAAATGTGTGAGAGATTTTCTAGTTATTAGCTTAAAATTAAAAATTTCTACCTTAAATACGCTATGGTCAGAGAACATGCTCTGCATTTTAAATTCCTTAAACTCAGTGCATTTTGCGGTTAGTTTTCACAGGGGCTGTCTCTTCGTGCTCTGAGAGAACACGTGTGCTCCTGCTG